GGTGTTTGGTCCAAAACAATGTTCAGGTGGGTGGTTACACCCTCAGAGTTTCTGAGTACTGGAAGGCAATCAGTGCTACCAGCTTCACCCATCACCAGTTTCAATAAACCAGTGTGTGCTGAAAGAAACACTGGAAAGCTGAAAACACAGAGCTCTAACAGTCTGACCTGCAAGACACAAACAGATGAGTGTGGATAGTACAGTATGGACCTTTTCTTCTGAATCCACCTGTAATGTGGACTACAATAACTAAAAGCCCCTCCAAAAAAACCACTAGCAAGTAAGAAAACTGGAAAACTGAAGAAAAAAAAAAGGATCATTGATCTCTTATTGTGTTTGGTTGGTTGAGCAGGCATGAAGTGTGCAAGTCAGAGGCTAAGAGGAAAAACAAATAGGGTGGTTTGAACGAGAGGAGAGGGACCTTGCACGAAAGCATAATCAGATAATAATAATAATAAATTTTATTTATGAGCGCCTTTCAAGTCACCCAAGGACACTTTACAATAGGATAAAACACTTAGTAAAACAATGGCAGAATAAGAAAAATAAAACAAAAGCACAAGATAAAATTATCAAACAGTGGATTCACAGTGAATATGCAGATTTGAACAGATGAGTTTTGAGTTGGGATTTAAACTGTGGGAGAGAACCAGTGTTTCTTATTTCTGGGAGCAGAGCAGCTGAAAGCTCTGCTTCCCATCGTGATGAGGCGGAAGGAAGGTACAGCAAGCTGGATAGAAGAAGAAGATCGAAGTGAACGGGCAGAACTGGTGGTGGTTAACAGGTCAGACAGGTAAGGAGGAGCGAGTTAATGAATGGCCTTGAAGGGGAGCAGAAGAAGTTTGAAAATTATCCGGAATTTCACAGGGAGCCAGTGACGTTCCTGAAGAACAGGTGATGTGCTGGTAGGAGGGGTTCTGGTGATAATGCGAGCAGCAGAGTTCTGAACCAGCTGAAGCGTATGGAGGGATTTTTGGGGGAGACCATGCAAAAGAGAATTGCAGTAGTCAATACGGGAGGTAACAAGACTGTGGACAAAAATGGACGTAGACTGGGTGGAAAGAGAAGGAAGTAATCTGTTAATGTTGCGTAGATGGAAGTAGGCAGAACGGGTGAGATTATTGATGTGAGATTTATAGGGAAGTGAACTGTCTAGGATGACACCAAGGCTCTTAACCTGAGGAGTTATCGATGGTGAGTGAGAAATGGTTCGCCTTCAAAAAGGTTGGATTTGGTGCCAATAAGGAGGATCTCAGTTTTATCCTCATTGAGATCACGTCTCATCAGGTTCCTGAAAATCCTATATTATGGTAAGCAGTGGACAAGCAAGAAGACACAATGAGGATATGAGAATAACTCCACCTGAGCATTATTGGCCAATTAAAAAAAACAAAAACCACCACAAAAGGTCAGCACAGGTACGAATCGGAGATTACCAAAATCACCCACTTTTCCCTTAATTTAAATAAATCAAGTTAATCAAATGAAACAAATTCCAAACTAAAGCAACCAGTGACCCGATGCTGAGCATGCAGCGAGGATGCTGCAGACAAGATAAGAATTCATCAGAGTGCAAATTACCGTAGGAAATGGTGATCCTCATTCATTGTCTAAATCACCTTCAACAGGCGTGGGGAGGCGGCAGCTGGGGCCGGAGATGGCCCTTTATCATATGGCCAGAAACAGAAGCAAATTCGATGCATGATATTTTACCCCCGGGCCAGCTCTAATAAAAACTTGCTTTAGTAATCAGCCAGGAAAGTACGATCATCGGTTATCTGATAGCTTGAGCCAAATACTGCAGCTTCAAGCTGAGGAGGTGCTTTAGGGCTACAGCCACACTAACGAGTTTTCATAATAATAACAATAATAATAGCTTATCTTCAAGGCTAAAAGCAGAAATCCATAGAGGCCATAGCTCACCAAATTTTTCCACCACTGGAAGTACATTAGCTTGTGGCCGCCTGAGGCTGGGTTTATGAATCCTCCTGGTGTCAAAACAGGGATCTTTCACATTTAAGGCAAATACATTGACCCCTAAACCAGAGAGACATTGTGCATGCTGATGCAACTGCATTTATTTCAAAACTGCACATATCATGAGAATTGGCACCGTTATTGAGGCCTTGAAACAGACTTGAGCCAATCGCGTGAGACGAGAAGTTGTGCTTTTTGTTTTATTGTGAATCCCACACCATAGCCCCCCCCATTCTGGGGGTATCCGAGAATACACAGCAAACAAATCCAAACAAAAATAAAAAGAAACCCAAAATGAAGTGTTAGGGCTACAAGCTGTGCTAAGGATGGAGCATGTTGCCAGCACTAATTATGAAGCAGTGACGGAAGAAATCACTGACTGACTCCACAGACAGATGGGGGTCTCCACCTGTTTCAGTAATTGGTAGAATCAAAGCTACTTTAACTTGTTGAAACAGCCTCTGCCACCTACAGCAGATTTGTTCTTGGAAATCATGAAACTATGTGGGAGTCATATGAAAAATATAAAAAAAAAAAATATCAGCCTTTTGTCTTTTGACTTGGCACACATGGAATCATGTGGGAAAATTACATTTTCTAATGTCTTCATACCCACACAGAGTGGGGAAAAATGAAAAAGCAGACTGGTAATTCTTATACATAAGCTAAATATATCCTTTGTGAAACTTTGTGTTAACGCTGCTCTGGAATTGTCCAAGTGCCATGAAGGAGATTTTTGGGAAAGCTGCTCACCAGGTTTCATTTTTAAGAGATGACGTTTTAGGCTACGTCGACACGTACCCGGGTATTTTTGAAAACGCAGATTTTTCTATGCGTTTGCACCTTTCGTCCACACGTAAACAGCGTTTTTGGTCAATGAAAACGTAGATTTTTAAAAACTCCGGCCAGGGTGGATATTTTTGAAAACTCTGTTTTTGCATTTACGTGTGGACGAGAAAAACTGAGAAAACGCAGAAAACGCAGCGTCAAAGGTGTGCGCCTTTTTTGACGTCACACCGTGCGCCACGTTATTG